GGAAAATAATACCTGCCTCTACTACTGTTGAGGTTAGTTTTCTTGACTCAAATGGTACTTTTTTCAACTGATAATTTTTTCTTATCAATTTAGATTTCCTCAGAGCAGAAGATAAAAGAGAAAAAAGAAGCAGGTTTTCCAGAAGGTAGATCATAGATACAAATTTAAAGCTGGTTAAATTCAAAATAGCATGGGGGGAAACTTATAACTGTGTAAGATACCTCAGACTGTAAGGTTATACAAAAAACTAATTTTTCAGAGTTTTCAGAAACTAATATCATTAGAGCGGTTAGTTCAATCATTGAGTTCAATCATTGAGTAATATTTAAACACTTTTGAAATGAAAAAATCGAACAGCGTTTTCCTTATCATTGAGGGAGCCCATGGTGCAGCTCACAACCTTTCATTTTAGATGAGTATAAAATATTTTTTCTTTTTAAAGATACAAAAAAAAAATGTTGATTTTTAGACTTTGATAAATTCTGTTTTTTAGCTCACCTGAGCTGAAAGCTCAAGTGAGCTATTCTGATCACATTTTGTCTGTCTTCCGTCTGTCCGTCCGTCCGTAAACTTTTCACATTTTCAACATCTTCTCAAGAACACCTGGGCCAATTTCAACCAAACTTGGCACAAATCATCCTTAGGCAAAGGGGATTCAAAGTTGTGAAAATTAAGGGTCACACCCGTTTTAAAGGGGAGATAATTAGAAATTAATGAAAAAATCAAAAATCTTCTTCTCAAGAACCAGAAAGCCAGGAAAGCTGAACCTTGTGTGGAAGCATCCTCAGGTAGTGTAGATTCAAAGTTGTAAAATTCATGACCCCCAGGGGTAGGGTGGGGCCACAATGGGGGGTCGAAGTTATACATAGGAATATATAGAGTAAATCTTTAAAAATCTTCTTCTCAGAAACTAAACAGCCAGGAAAGCTGAAACTTGTGTGGAAGCATCCTCAGGTAGTGTAGATTCAAAGTTGTGAAAATCATGACCCCCGGGGTAGGGTGGGGCCACAATGGGGGGTCGAAGTTTTACATAGGAAAATATAGAGTAAATCTTTAAAAATCTTCTCCTCAGAAACTAATCAGCCAGGAAAGCTGAAACTTGTGTGGAAGCATCCTCAGGTAGTGTAGATTCAAAGTTGTGAAAATCATGACCCCCGGGGGTAGGGTGGGGCCACAATGGGGGGTCGAAGTTTTACATAGGAAAATATAGAGTAAATCTTTAAAAATCTTCTTCTCAGAAACTAATCAGCAAGATGATTCTTTTTAATTGTTAAGACTTTGGCTCCAGGACAATTCTTCGGCCTCACCAGAAGGTTCAGAGTTTGATGTAGCTAAATATCCCATATATAAACAATTGTAAAGGATCTTTTTGCAATACTCAACATGTGATATGACTATGAAATTGAAGCAGGCAGCTATTTTTTCATTAGAATCTTTTTGTATTACTGTATTGAGTTATTGCCCTTGATTTATTGATTCTTGATTATTTTTAATTAATGCATCCACTGTTAACCAATTATTGTGATGATTATTTTTATACAATAATAAATATTCAATGTATATAAGTTGTTCTGCATAAGTAGTTTTGGGTTAGGCCGGATTAGTTTGTTTATTTTTGATTTCCAATTTTTAGATACTATGAATTATTTTAGGCCGGCACATATATAGGGACAGTGTCTATTGCATATCGAGGAGCGACTGTTTGGGTTTAACCTTGAACAGGTATGGATAGATTGAGTGTGTGGACATCCCTGCTCTATCTAATCTTCGTGTTTTCTAACCTACGATACAGAGTGTGCGGTCATTCCTGCCCTGTATCGCATTAATACAAGTGTGCGGTCATACCTGCTTGTATTGGTGGTGGTTGCGGCGGAGCACTAGTGTATGGTCATCCCTGCTGGTGTTCTGGCCTTTCTAGCGCAAGTGTGCGGTACTCCCTGCTTGCGTTAGGTTGAGCTGTTGGCGCAAGTGTGTGGTTATCCCTGCTTGCGTAAACATTGGTACCTGTTCAGTTGCGTAGGTGTGCGGTCATTCCTGTCTGCGTAACTTTGAGTCCCTATATATGTGCAGGAGCGGTGATTAAAGTCTGCTCTTGTAAATAATGGCAGCAATCAGGGCTCTGAGTTCCAAGGGGGAAAATGGATTTTATTTATACAGGATCTACATGTATTATTGTACATTGTCCAGATTGTTTGTATTATGACTCCATTAAGCTGACTTTATCATACCTATTGTTCCTCAGGTGAGCGATGTGACCCATGGGCCTCTTGTTTGACCTTCTACCTTTTCCTTTTTTAAAATTGTAATAATAAACAAAAACCAATATTTACAACTTCATTGCCTCTATTTAATCCTGTGGATTCCCATTCCCAGTTATTATGGTCTCGGAGCATTTTATCTGAAAACCAAAGGCCAAAAAAAGTTTTTAAGGAAAATAACTCATTACCGAACAAGATATGAAACTTCAAAGTTCATGTCTTGGGGAAAAAAAAGAAAAATATGGATAATCTAAACCAAAACAATGGGCAGAAAGCCTTCCATGAATTTAAGACCCTACTTATCAACAACAAAGTTAATATAACATCTTCATGTTGGCAGCAATTTCTTTGTTACTGGTCACTTGAGTTTACTTTGCTGTGTGACAGTTGAAAATATTAAATCCCTCTAAGATAAAATATCTTGCCTCAGATTGAACTGGTAAAAATATATTCAACAATGACATTGAATATAACAGTTTGAAATGCATTAATTGAGCATTTTTAGCTCACCGAGACGAAGTCAGGGGGAGCTTATGCTATACCCTCGGCGTCGGCGTCCGGACCTGGTTAAAGTTTTTGTTGCAGTTCCTGTATCTAAGCTATTACTTGTCCTATCTTCACCAAACTTGCATGGATGATGCATCTGGACCTACTTATGGACTTGAAAGACTTGGATGCTGAATCTGAGTCCTAAATTTCAGATGCTGGAGGAGGTTAAGGTGTTGGACCAGGTTAAAGTTTTTGTTGCAGGTGCCCATTGATAGCTATATCTAAGTTACTGCAGGTCCGTACTTCACCAAACTTGCATGGATGGTGTGTCTTATGATACTGATGCACCAGACATGCTTGAGAGCTGAATCTGAGCTATAAGTTTCAGATGCTGGAGGAGGTAAAGGTTTTTAGAGCTGGTTAAAGTTTTTGTTGCAGGTGCCCTCTGATGATTATATCTTAGTTACTACTTGTTCTAACTTCACCAGACTTCCATGGATGGTGCGTCTTATGATACTGATGCACCTGGCAGGCTTGAATGCTGAGTCTGAGCCATAGGTTTCAGATGCTGGATATGGTTAAGTTTTTTGGAACAGGTCACATGTTTAATAGAAAATAGTACTATTTCAAACTTGCATAGTTGATTAAACTGTAATATGAATGAAACACAGAGGAAGCTTCAGATGCAGAGCTTGATCTCCATTATCAAGGATGCTAAAAAATATATCTTAGTTATTACAGGTCTTAGCTTCACCAAACTTAAATGGATGGTGTGTCTTATGATACAGATGCACCTGACAGGCATGGATGTTGAATCTGAGCCAAAGGTTGCGGATGCTGGAGCAGGTTAAGGTTTTGATTGCTAGTGCCCTCTGATGATGATATCTTAGTTATTATTGGTCTGAACTTCACCAAACTTGCATGGAGATGCGTCTTATGTATACTGATGCACCTGACAGGCTTGAATGCTGAATCTGAGCCATAGGTTTGGGATGCTGGATTAGGTTTAGTTTTTTTGGAACAGGTCACATGTTTTATAGATGATAGCTTGCATAGTTGATTTAACTATATTATAAATGAAACGCAGAGGTTGCTTCAGATGCAGAGGCTGATCTCAATTGTCAAGGATGCTAAAGAAATCTCCTACCTCACTCAAACTTGCTCGATAGATACACTGTAGATGTGTTTTTTGATAAATGATATAATATGATTCCTATGATAAAGTATTGTATGGGATGAAACAATATTGTTTAATATGATACAATGTAATATTATATGTAATATTATAAAAAGTTAAATAATACGATATGAAATGTATCAATTTTTTTCATGTTTTATGTTATGATATTGTATCATGATATCGTTATGTATAGTATTGTATATTATGATACAATATTGTATAATATTATATTGTATTATTAATTTATTATTTTATTACATGATACTATTACATAAGATAATGCAAAATATAATATTGTTACCTATGATACAATATTGTATATTCTATAATATTGTATCATACAATATTGTATAATATGATATTACTTTCTGTAATATAGAATTATATCACATGAAATTGTATAATATGATACTGTAATATTATTACTTATTAGGTTAGTTACTGACTCGCTACGGAAATATATTGGGTTGATCAATCTCATAGATGGCGAGGCGAAGCGGAGCCGTCTATGAGATTGATCAACCCAATATATTTCCGTAGTGAGTCAGTAACTAACCTAATAAGTGTTTTGTTTTCCCAAGGACTATCAAGCGACATATATTTTCACAAATAGCGATGAAGCCATGTACAAGATGCCTAACATCTCGTCCAATTTAACTCATTTAAACTCTTCAAAATTTTCAATCTCACCTTTCAAATACTCTTTACAAATCCTTTCTTCACCAATGTTTACTTACAATGTTTTGTTGCTATTCAATTTAAAATGTTTTCTCCCTTTCTTCTGCAGAGATCGGGCAAATTTCAATGCTGCCATTTTGTTTTGCTCCAGACAAAACAATGTGACGTCAATATTCAAAGGGCAACTACTCTAATTTTTAAGAATTTCAAAGGGCAACTACTCCAAATACTTTGAGAACTTAACGCATGCGGTTTAAGTATTAAATACTCCGAAATATCGAAATGAGTAAGCGAAGCATCGACCAATGACGGCCATATTGCCTAATATTATTTCTCACAGAACAAATATAGAGATATATGAGGCAATCACGTGCTATGTTTAAACCAATGAAAATGTGACATTTCAGTCCAAGGGAAAACAATATATAATATCGTATCATACGATATTGTATAATATGATATTGGTTTATAATATGATATATTATCACATAAAATTGTATTGTATGATATTGTAAAATATATTATTGTATCATATGATACAATATGTATAATATGATATTGTATTTTATAATATTTTACTTTATCACATAATATTGTATCATTTGATGTGATACAATGTGTATCAAATTATATTGTATCATATGATACATATCATATTATGTATAAAAAATGATACAGTATCATACAATATCAAACTATATTATACAATATAATACAATATGTTTCAATGTTATGATGTATTATTTAATATGATATTGTTATATAATACTATTTTGTTTTATATATTATGATATTGTATTTTGTGATCAAATACAATAACGTATAACACAATGTAATGTCATATCATACGTTACAATATCATATCTCATCATTGTTTATTATGGTATGTTATTGTATTATATGATATATGTTGTAAATATGATAGGATGCAATATTTAATTTTATATTATTGTATTGATTAACATATGAACATATGATTATCATACAATTTTATAACAGAATCCATAAATATCCAAGATCATAAAGTATGATTTTCATTTAATATGATAAAGGTGGTCTCATAAAAGGGAAGTCTCATAAGGGTGATGTCTCGTCTCGGTGAGCTTTGTAATCTGTGATTACCTATGTTTTTTTAGGTGCTATTGACATCCTTATCTGTGGGAGGTGTAACACACAATATGAGGATATAGAGGCATTTTTAGCACACAAACAAGCAATCTGTTCTTTCAAGAAGATGTTTTCAGCAAGTGATCAAAAGGTATGGTGATTAAAGGCAGTGTAATAAAAGGAAGATTACTATACCAAGGCATACTTTTTAGCTCACCTGAGCCAAAGGATGAATTTATTAGGGTTTTCCATAAGAAAATCCGGGTATTGAAATTGTGAAGTGGTGGGCATATTGCTAGAATTTTGTCGTTTGGTAATTAAAAAAATCCCAGCTTTTAAACTTTTAATTTTATCTTCTTTTTTCTCTCATGTTTCCTTTAAAGGAAAAATTCTGATTTTTTTTGTGTGTGGAGTAATGTAACAACAATTATAATTTAAGAACATTCCATGTGCTCTTTAGATGTAGAAGTGCATTTTAGGATCTGCAAAATATACAGTTTGTTAGTTTAGGAATATCATATAACTAAATATTAGATCTGACAATCAAACTCTCCTGCACACTTTTATTATCCCCTCAGGCAACCTGTTGCAAGGGGTATATAGCATCGCTGCTGTGCTTGTGTGTGTGTGTGTGTATCTTTAGTTTTTTAGCAAAGTTCAAAGAAAGCCCTCTCATGAATGTTCATCAAATTTTGTACCATAATGTTGCGTTTATAACACACACTTTTTTTTAGCCAAATTGGATCAAAAGTGGGGGGTGCGTGTTGTACATAGGACTAAAATTTTACCCCATTTTTTCAAGCCGCGATTCTTGATACCACAGAAGTAGTGACTGCTGATATAGCGTGTTATGCAAGTTGTGTATACTAAATTTACTACATCAGAAATACCTTATTCTTAGTTTTATTTCCATGTATTGAAATATTTATCCTCTCTCGACACTATTTTTAATGTATCAAACAAGTTTAAATATCGCCAGTGTATTCGCCATTAAGTAAGCAGCCACCTGTTGACTCGGCGCGTGGTCAATGTTTGTTTAACAATTTCCGGTGTCAGAAGCAAGCACCTGTCTTGTGTTGGACTTCACAGGGTGTTTTCAAGTGAATGAAGATTAGCGATTATTTTGATTTTATTAAACTTGATTACTTCGTTTCCAGTTATGCAGTTAAACGTTATTGCTTTACAAAGACACTGCTAAAAATACATCGATCATTTGTACGAATTGATAATGAGGATATACGACATACATACGTTTCTTCACAATGTTTATTTAACAACAATCATTGAGTTAGCACAAAGCTCGGTTGTCGTTCTTCTCTTTGATGATGTTCTTCAATTTCTCCACTGTTGTATAAGAAACTCTTTACAAAGATTTGATACCGCCCATGTAAATCATGCCGTCCTTTTTAAGTAAAATTGTAAGACCTTTGACTCTAATATCGCTTGGGCCATGTTCCGATCACGAAATTGCAGTAATTGCGCTTGGGTTATAAAATTATCATTAAACATTGATAATTATTTGGAAAAATGGCGGCCGTCGATTTTCATCGCTCTGCTATGTTCGGATCACAAAATTAAAGAAATTGCGCATGGATTATAAAATTATCATGAAACATAGCTATTTTTGGTGGAAATGGTGGACCTTGATTTCGTCATTTTTTGGGTGCGTGTTATACATAGGACCTACTGTTTTTTCGCCATTTTTGGTCAACATTAGGGGGTGCGTATTATACACGATACATTACACTTCTTTGGCATGATAAAGGACAAAAAGTATTGATTTTCAAGTTAATTGATTTAATATTTTTAAATTATCTTAAAAAAACAAAGATAAAACAGGAATTTTATTTACGACTGGACAAATGACATTTCTAGTAATTTTATATCCGACATGAAGTAAATCACTACTGTATGCAACTTATTTTGGGATTTAACATCTAGTAAAGGTAAAAGAACAAATGTTTTCTAGTAATGGAGGGTTAGAAGATCGCTAATTGTTAAAAGTTGAAGTGGGCAAGAGGTTAAAATTATCCGATTTACATCAAAACAAGCAGTCAAATTTTAGAATAAATTTTCCCGTGCTACAGTACCCGCAACATTATTTTTTACAAGATAAACGATAGGATAGGATTCACGTATAATACGATAGAACAATATACACGCACGATACAATAGGATTGATACACGATAGGATAGGATAAACGGTGTTCATGTTAAATGTATGATCACGTCAAACGATCTTCACGATCAACCTGATAATGGCAGAATTTGATAAAGAACTCGTTCGAATCAAGATTTATTGTTATCAACAAATGCCGAGTTCTTAATTATCGCTGCATCATTTATAGAATGTATTAAAATAACCAGTTATTGTTTTAATAAAAATTATGAGCTAGAATGATCCAATAAATTATATGTATTGTCAACATTGTTTTCAACACTGAACACCCTAGCCGATCGCCGCGAACATTTCGGCCCGAGATCAAATCGCATGGAAAATAGCAAGTAAATGACAATATAACTTTTGTTCTAAATAAATCAAAAATCTATCATAAATACATTTATTTTTCTATAAAAAAATGATGTATTAAAAATAAATTATATTGCATACAAGTTAAATAAGTATTAACACAGATACATATTCCGCGTACAATTTGTTAAGATTGTTTTTATTACCACACACCCAAGGCGATCGCCGGGAACATTTCAGCCCGATATCAAATATTACACGGAAAACAGCGGGTTCAATAAAATAAGACTTTCGTTGTAAATAAATATAAATCATATCATAGTACTTTTGTTTTTATAAACAATGATGCATGAAAATCGAATTATGTTACATACAAGTTAATGTTTACGCAGGTATATACTCTGCGTACGATTTAATGTTATCGATGTAATAGATAGATAAAACAGGTAAATATGTTACTTTGTTCCTAAGAACTTCGATAGTTTGTCACTTCCACTGCTTACAGGTATGATTTACATGTAATATTAATTTGTTAACTTTATCTGAAGAATTAAGAATTTTGTATCATGATAGAAAGCTGGATAGGGTTTTACATTTCTTGTTCGATAAATTTTCGTATACGGTATGCTGAACGACTTGTAACTTTGAAATAAATGTACTTGTTTATGTAAAGACATGAAAAGATCAACACGATAGGATAAACGGAAAAAATGTTAAAAACGATAAACCTGATAGGATTAACGCACGATAGGACAGTATACACGCACGATACGATAGGATTGATACACGATACGATAGGATAGGACTGTAAAAAATAACGTTGCGGGTACTGTACCTAGAAAGGAGTTTATGAATCCTTCTCTGTGCCATGAAGGCGTATAGGGCCCATGCTTATCACCAGTTTCCTGTTTTCCATGGTGCTAAGCGGATGAGAGTCATTGACTCCCCCAGGATGGGACACCAGTCCATCGCAGGTTCACCCCCAGCGTAAGCCAGTTCCCAATTTCAGCTGGGTGGACTGAGATAATGTAGTGCCTTGTCTAAGTGCACAACACACGACATCAAGTGACCACAGCAGGTTTTGAACCAGTGACCTTTTGTTTACTGGCCTAACGCCCATAACCTCTGAGCTATGTGCTCCACACTTGGAATGAAACTAATCTAAAATTCAGAAGAGACTTTGACAGATATCCTACATTTTTCACTCGAAAATTTGTTTTATATTAATAATAGCTGCATATCTACTTTGGGTTGACATACTAAAAGCAACTAGAATTGACCATCAGAGTAGACTACTGATAGCTAGTTCTTTAGCTATGTTTCATAATGTATGTGAATCGCTTATGTATGCCTAAATAATAATGAATGTCACAAAATGAATCTAAATTATTAAACTTTAAAGCCATATGTGTTGAGTTTCTGCTAGGAATAGGGAAACTGTACAACTCTGTAAATGTAACTCCCCTATCCCCACCCCACCCCCAATGTTTACACCACAAAGCTTGTGGATATGGATTAAATAGATATTATGAATTCAAAGTGGTTTCAAGAATATGAATACTTGTATCATATTCATTCTGATCTGATACATTTACATGTATTTTCCTATATAATACATTCCTAGCTTCCTACAATAATTCATGTTGCGAGAAGATGCTCCGCTTAGCGGTGCCCTTGTTTATAATCATTTATAGTTTGTCTGGGTTTTTTATTAGCTAAAGGAACCAATTAAACAAGAAACTCAGCATGTAGATCTTACCCAGCATACAGAATCCTCAGAGGCTGCATCAACAGAATGTTCCCCATCTCATACTACAGAGTCTTTTAAGGCCCAATCAGCAGAGACATGCACATCTCAAATGTCTTCAACAGAAAAAAAAAACATATTTACAAATGAAAAGATCACATCAGGTAAGTTTGATCACTAAAATCTTAGTATGATTTTAAAGGGTTTATTTATTAATAAAAAAAATTAATTGCAACTTTAAGATAACATTAAAGTCTACGGGAAATGTAGGTTTTTTTTAAATATACAGTATATCAAGTCTTTTCCATACAAATCCAATTTACGCTTTTTAGTGCAAGTTAATTTCATACATCCTTTCCCTTTCTTTAAAAATGCAAAGAAAATTCATAACTTACCATGCATATTTTTTCAAATTGTTATGAGAGGCAGACAACTCTGAAAAAAAGTTTCAAGTTAATTGACATGCATACAAACCCCCAACTTTAGTTTATATCAGCATCATGATAATTTTCAACGACATATTTAATATAGTTTAGATATATCAAAATTGTTTTAAATAATGACTTCACAATAAGTATGAAAAATGTTAGTCAGCTTTCGACCTTGTGGAAGATTGTTTTTGCTGACAAGGTCCTTATCGACCGTAGAACTTACAAAATGATTACTTCGAGACCATGGATAACCTTGTTTCGTCAACTTGTTTGTTAGTATCTTGTTTCTGTTGTTTTAGAAACTTTTTGTACATAGAGCATGCTCACCTGAACCAAAGGTTCAAGTGAGCTTTCCTGATCACCTGTTGTCCATCGCCTGTCAGTCTTTCTGTCCGTCCATCTGTCTGTAAACTTTTCACAATTTTGGCTTCTTCCCTAGACCCAGTTGGCCAAAGTTAACAAAGTTGGAACAAATCATCCTTAAGGGAAGGGGATTCTAAATTTTTTATATTGATAAAACCCTTTTTAAAAGGTAGATAATTTTGAAATGGTGAAAATAGAGTGCCAGTCTTTTTGTTAATCAAGCTGGTAAATAATGATTGTGTGCATGTAAGGAGAATAATCGTTAACAACCATGGTCAAAATACTTTGTCATGTTACAGATGGTAATTTTTATTTTTGCATAGCAGAGTCATTGGGGGTTAGATTTCTAAATTGTTAAACATAATAAATCAATTAAAATGTCCAGCATCCAGTCATCTGTGGTTATTGTTAATATCTCTCATTTTTATTTTCTCTGAATTTGCTTCTGGACATAATTTTTTTTTTTAACTTTGTTCAACCCACCCACCTACACCCTTTTACATATGCACACACATTATATAGTAGTCATATTTTGTTTTAATTTTCATTTGAGTATATGAAATATTGTGAAATTGGCAGTTTTAAACGTCACCTATGCAAATTAATTAATCATTTATTAGGGCTTTTCGACTTTCGGTCGAAAAGACCTATTGTTTTCGTTCTGTTTTATTAGGGCTTTTCGACTTTCGGTCGAAAAGACCTATTGTTTTTGTTCTGTTTTATTATTTTTTATTATTCTCGACAAAGTTTCGTCAGCGATTTTTTGAAAACGGAAAGACATATTAAAACAACAATGCAATACAGTTATAGCAATTTTTAATGGCACGCGTATGTAAGGTTTTGGACTTCCGGTTCCGGCACTTCCGGTTTTGACAAGGAAAAAACTAAAATTTCATTGAAGCACAATATCTTTATTGTTTTTATAGTTAGAGCATTCAAATTTAAGAATTAGATGCATCTTGTCTTGATGTACAAAATCAAAAGCGTAGCCATTTCTCTATCTCTTACTGTTTTTGAGATATTAGGGCTCAAACTTGAGATAAGGGGGGGATGAAAAAGAAAAAAAATTCAAAAAACCTTAGAAATTTTATAAGACGCCTAGACATTGTTCAGATAGAAGTATTCAAGAGACATTTCAAGTTTCAATAACATATATTGAGTACTTCCGGTTTTATGAGCCTATGAAAAATTGTATGTGGGAGTTTCAATGTTAAACTAAAATCACGCGTCGTTCGTTTTCTCAAAAAGTTTACAAGTAAACATTACAATATTTCAGATGTATAATGGTACATACAATGCGCAGACCGGAAAAGTTTTTGGGTAGACAATTCGAGAAAATTAGGGATCTGCAGGGGCCAACGTACAAAACAGCCCTTTAGCTGTAACTTTTTTATTTCTCTTTTGATTTTAAAAATCTTTTCAATTTATTGTTCAGAATAGAGAGTACAATCTTAAAATTATGGTCCAAAGGGCCACTTTTTGACTCCTTATAGGGGTTTGGAAGGCCCAAAGATCATTACTTGTTTAGATTTCAAAATTTTTTTTTTTCATCTCGCTTTGCTGTAAGAATGTAGAGCATAAATACTATAGGCATACCAAGTTTTGTGTCCGAGGAATGAATACTAACTTCAGTATGATTTTTTGAAAATATTCCTCTGGAAATTAGAAGTGTAGCTACCTGTAAAGTTCTGGAGTTATCTTTCTTTTCACATTGCACTACTCGTAAGTTCCTATCGAAGCAACTGGGGATACCAAGGCGTTTTGAACACTTGGAAATAAATTAGAGAATAAATTTTTTTTGAACATTTAATTAAAAAGGGATAATGGGGCTGTCGAAAAGCCCTTACTTTTTGTTGAAGACAAAAAAAGTTCTAGTTATTATTATTCTTCTCGACAAAGTTTCGTCATGGATTTAGTGAAAACGGAACAGAAAAATCAAAATTTAATGTTAGATTCTTTTAGCAATTGTTTAGTTCTCCCGTATGTCCCTTTTTGGACTTCCGGTCTATATACTTTCGGTTTACACATGCAAAAAACAAAATATTAAAAGGACCTTTGCATCTATTTTATTTTTTGATTATAAACTAAGAAATTTTGGATATAGATACTTCATAGTTTGATATACAAAATTGTAAGCGACAACTTTTTTCTATCTCTTGCTGTTTTCGAGTTTTTAGACTTCAAACTTTGAAAAAAGGGGGGATGAAAAAAGTAAAAATTGAAATAACCACCAAATTTTTAAATTGAGGAATGAGAAATGTTAAAACTGTCATAATTAACATATATTCAAAGTTTCGTTTGAAACCATTAAGAACTTCCGGTTTTATAAGTTGATTAAAAATCGTCTATGGGTGTTTTAATGTTAAACTGAATTCACGCGTGCCACGTTTTCTCAAACAGTTTTCAAGTAAATATTTTCATATTTAATTGTAATAATGAAAGACCAAATACGCAGACCGGAAAAGGTTTTGAGATAAAAATTTTGAAAGATAAGGGATTTAGAGGGGTCAAAGTTGGAAACAGCCCTTTAGCTGTATCTTTTTTATTTTTCATCCGATTTTTAAAATCTTTTCGGTTTTTAGTTTTGAGTAAAGAGTACAATTAAAAAATTATGGTCCGTAGGGTCACTTTTTAACGTCTTATAGGAGTTTTTTGGGCGTGTATATTGCAACTTTTTAAAAGTTGAAAAAATGATTTAGAAAGAGTTATCTCGCTTTGCTCAATGAATGTAGAACGTAAATACCCTAGGCATACCAAGTTTTCTATTCTAGAAATGAATACTTACTTTTTTATGATTTTTAGGAAATATTCTTTTAGAAATTAAAAATATATTTAATTTTATAGCTCTGAAGTTATCTTTTTAGTGACATTGCATTACTTATTAGTTTATATTTTGGAACTGATTATACCAATGCGGTGAAGAATTTGTAAATAATAGAATAAGAAATGATTTTACCTGACATTTTCAATCAAAAAGGGGAAAGAGATGTCGAAAAGCCCTTACTTTTTGTTGAAGACAAAAAAAGTTCTAGTTCAATTATGTTTTCTTGTTTACTTTATTGTTTTCGATTGAAACATCATAAGTCATAAAACAAAATTCTAAATTTACATAGGAATATATGAAGAAAACTCTTTAGAAATATTTTTTAAAAAAACATTTGCCTGGAAAAGCTGTAACTTTTGTGAAAGCAACTTCAAATAATGTAGATTTAAATGAGTTCAAATCAAAATCTTGTGAAATAGGGCAGGGCCACAATGGGGATTCAATTTTACAAAGGAAAACATTTTAATTCACAAAAACTTAAATGCTATATGGTTTTACCTACATGTATATGCGAGCATTTTGATAGATTGCTGATTCTTGGAAATTGTTTAGACTTTGGCCCAAATGGACGATTCTTGGGCCTCACAAGGGGTTCAGAGTTTGATGTAGGTTTATATCTCATATAAAAACAATTGTTTAGGATCTTGTTGAGAACAGGTTATATGACTATAAAATCATCAGGTTAGAAAAGGGGCTTGATAATAAACATAAGAATATCCACAGTGAAGAAATGGAATTTTATATATACAGGATTTACATTTTTATACTACAGTGTCCACATAGTTTGTATTATGACTCCATTAAGCTGATTTTATTATGCCAATTGTTTATCAGGTGAGCGATGTGGTCCATGGGCCTCTTGTTTCACTGGTTCATGGGGACGTAATTTTTTTGGTAGTGTAATCAGAATTATTTCAATAACTATAAACAAATGATTGTATATACGTCCGTGGGGTTGTAAATTCGTGGGCAAGGATTACCCACAAAAGCCAAGAACATTTGTCCCCCACAAACAATGACTTCGAAGTTCACACCAAGTAGGGACTCAAATTCCTTGAAAAAGCTTGTGAAATATTTCATCATGATTAGAATGTCTAGAACGATTGAAACCTGAGGTTTTACTTGCAATGTTTGAGAATCAAGGCAATTTTTTTATTGATATAGAGATATATATATATATTATATATATACAGTGTTTTTATAAATTTTATGAATGAAGTGAACCTTTGACCATTGTCTGAGTTTTATTCTACCGACACTGGCTACAAATACCTCTAATACAGACAAGTTCAATTTCAGAAATAAAAACCAAACTTGCCTCAAAGATAAAAAAGAGACCCCATAGACCATGCCCATTCTGCAACAAAATGCAGTCGGCACTAAGCAGACACATACAGAAGTGTCACAAAGAGGAAGAAGAGGTTAAAGCTGCACTAAAGTTGCCAGGACCAGAAAAGCAACAAGCTTTTAAAAACATGAAAAGACAAGGAATTTATCAGTACAATGTTAAAGCGCTATGCAATGAGTCTGAAGAAGAACTGATAAAAGAAAGAAAAACTGCTGCACATAAATCTTACACACAAATGGCAATGTGTTCCCTTTGCAAGGCATTTTTGAATAAAAATACAATGCATCGCCATAAAAAAATATGTAAAAGGGCAGAGGAAACAACAATACCACCTTGTGGAATTTCACTAAATGTGTTTAAAGAAGTAGAGTATCCTGCAAGTTATGTTCAGTTTGTGTACACTAGAATTCAAGCAGATGATGTTGGGATGAAAATAAGGGATGATACCTTCATTAAGGACTATGGTTTCATGGAGTACAAAGCAATAGAGGGATCAAGTTTCAAACTGACAGAAAAACTAAATACACTGCGATCAAAATTGAGAAGACTTGCCAGGCTTTTCATGGAGTTTCAAAAAATTGCTTCAGAGGCGGGAGTTGTAGTAAAACATTGCTCTGAAATGTTTAATGTAAAATCTATTAAACTACTTAGCACTGCAGTTAATTCTATGACAATTGACCCTGAAGGTGAAATGAAAAGTGGATTAAGATTGGGGCTAAGATCTTTAATTCTTGAAGTGAGCAACTCAATCTACTCCACTCACATGCTTATGGGAGAAGACGACAAAGCGCTTGAGGCTGAGAAGTTTAGAAAAGTCCTTCAAGTTCGATGGAAATCTTTCTTTAGATCAGCACAGGAAGCAATTATTAAGAAGAGGCAAAATGAATCAAGAGACCCAAAACGTCTGCCCTCTGTTGAGGATATTAGGCAAATTCAACAGTTTACAAAAAGCAGTGTAAAAGAATTAGTAAGTGATGCAACATATTCACTAATGACCCAAACTTTGTTTTGTAAACTTAGAAACTTCATTGCCAGTCGTCTAACATTATTTAATGCTAGAAGAGGAGGGGAAGCAACTAGACTCACTGTTTCAGAGTTAAAGGATGCTTTCAAAGACAAATGGGTAGATGAGTCATTTATCAAGAAAGACACTGAAAGTGATGATTTTGAAAAAATGGCATGTCAGCTTAAATGTGCTTATCTACATTCTTCTAAGAAGTCAGAACTAGTGCCTGTCATAATTCCAGAGGATTGCTGGAAGGGACTCCAAATGCTTGCCGATGTTGAAAATAGAAAACTGGCGGGCATACATCCTCAAAATGAATTTGTATTTGCCAATACCGAAGATTCAGTTGACCATGTGAGTGGATGGCAATGTGTACGTGATGTATGTGAGAAAGCCGATGTGCCTAGAAACATAACTGCAACGGATATGAGACATTTTGTAGCTACTCACTATGCATCCCTAGAAGTTCCTCAGCAGGAAAGAGACTTTTTTATCCAAAAACATATGGGTCATTCAAAATTTATAAATGAAAATGTTTACCAGTGCCCTCCTGCTGTCAGAGAGATAAAAATGGCAGGAAAATTTCTAATGACACTGGATTCATATGAAGGTAAATATGATAAAGTTCTTGAGTAATTGAATTTTACCTGGTGTTTGATTCATTATGTAGTATTAATTTATTTGAATAAAATTTTCCTGTACTTTAGAAAGTGCTTTTTTTTTTGTTTTTAGGTGAAAATGAAATAGTTGACCAAAATGAAATCAACAGCAGTCTGTGTATTCCAGAAGAAGCGTTGTCAAATGGTAATGTATCCAAAAACGATATCTTAACTGCTAATTGTTTTTATTAGGTAACCCTAACCGTAAATAATCACACAAACAGCTGACTACCAGTATATCACAACGATATCCATATCGACACAGCCAAACTTCAGCATGTACATGTATACTTTGCCATAAAATTATGTCTTCAATCTTTTGTTGCATCATTCATAAAATCAGTGGGCTTTTTATGGTTTTCCTTGGATCTGTGTAACTCAGGGCAGGCCTATTGGGAGGATAAATAAATTTTATATCAGTGCAATTGATAATGTTTTTATATTTCAAGCAGTTTCTAAGAAAAACAAGTTATGATATATTACTCAATTTATTATCAGATTATATATATGCAGGTAACTCTCGATAGCTCGAAGTCCATGGGACTGAGGAAGGTATCGAGAGTAAAAAACAGTATATAATGTTTAAGGGGACTGCAGTTTGACTTCAAGAGATCAAGATTTCGAGAAATTAAGAGTAAATTTGCTTAGTAAACAGGACCCTAGACTCACTTCAAGGGATCAAGAACTTCGAACGATCGAAGTTCGAGTCATCAAGAGTTACCTGTTTATATGCATATAAGAGCAACATGAATTTTTTTGTTTGTGTCAGAAAAATGTGAATCATTTAAAATGTTGTGAAATATTTATCTAATAATAATTTTCCAAATTTAACCTCAATTTTAAATAAACTTTGATTTATTATTAAAAAATGTCAAGTAAAATTTACTCCCAAGAAAACAAAAAAAAGGGTGTTTTGCTAGATTCGATACCCCAGTATTTACCCGCAGTGGCGTCGGAAGCAAATTGATAGGGGGGGGGGGGGCTAGACTAATCCTCAGAAATCTTGACAAGCTAAAACAAAAAAACCTAATTCCCAAAATCATGAAGAAAAAAAAAATGTCTCCAACTTCTCAATATTTTAATATTTTCAAGTTAAATTTAGGAACAGTTGTGTTGCTGCGAGAAAAAGGGGGGGGGGTAAAAACTTTGCAAAGAAAGTGGGGGGACCTAGCCCCCCGGTTCCGACGCCTATGGCCCGAGGGTCAGCTCTAAATTGTTAAACGCATTGTAAAAGTGGATTGCAGTTCATTTTATATTCTAAAAACAAACATGTTTAACTGCCATTCAATGAATATATTTTGAATGCTAAACTTGCTTAATGTGCTCATACTGAAGGTGCAGAGGGTATCGACACTCAATTCATTTATTCAGATAAGTCAACTGTTCAGTGGTGGATTTTTCACAGTTAAACATTTCATTACTTAATATCATCTATTTCTAATGCATGCCATAAAATGGGATCAATTTTTTTATGTAAATCTTAGCCAACTTCATGTTAAATGAAACTTGAAATGTACATTAGAGAGAGGGTACATTTATCACTTGTAAACATTGGCTCACAGACTTCTTGTTTTATTATATGTCATAAAAATTACAATCTATTATTCTATGAAATACATGTATATATATATCAATTCTGTAAGAGTGCTGTCTAAGCAAACATTTTTTGACCACATGCACAGGACATTTGGTCCTGTGTAATCAATGAACACAGGACCTAACCTTTTTTTGTCAGGCGGAGAAATTTGATTTGCGACCGGAAATTATGCAGGAGTATGTGTTGTGTATTTTTGCGACGAAGTTAATTCTGGTCAGCGATCATCTATTATCTGATTGGGATCGAAATTGAAGTTATTTTTGCTAAACTCTCTGTCAATGTTAAAATAAAATAAACTTGTTGATAAGGCCACATAAAATTCATTTTTATATTCTCATCCCCGCCCGCCCCTCTTAATATGGCCCGCCTTGATGCATTTTATTTAAAAAAAAAAAATTGAGTGGGGAAAAAAATTCTGGCTTGTTTTTCAAAAAATTCAAAAACATTTTGATGGCTGCCTTAACATGTGGATTACTGTTTGATTCCAGTTATGTTTGTTACCACAAGGACACAAATGTCGTCATGCATTGCCAGTAAAGTTGAAATAAAATTGAATTAAAAAATTACATGAGGGTTTGTGCACTCATATTAGCATTAACAATTAACTTAAAAGAATAGAGCAGTTGTTACTTCTAAAACATTAACAGTTAAAAAGGTGTTTTTATAACAATGAAAAATAATAAAATTGATTAAATCTGTCCACCTGCCACATATATTTTGCAAATGAGGATGAGAATCTAAATATTAATTTTATATGGCCAAAGTATAGTTTAAATAATGCATCCCTAGGATTAAGATTAAACAGTGACAGCATGGCGGAAAATAGATTAAAAGAAACCTTAGATTATTGCAGTTTGGATTTACAAAGAAAGGAAAGAGACTGACGGCAATAAAAAAGATGGAAGATAAAAGTAAAAATTAGTACAGCTTAAAACTGGATACTGAGACATGGACATTTTGGTCCTGTCTAAAAAATGACACATCGGACCATGGGCACAGCACATTGGTCAGGGGTGACCATACATGTTAACTCTACCGATTTACGCGGAAGTCTACCGCTTTTTAGCTCCGTCTACCGCCTACCGCTTTTATTTTAAAATCTACCGCTTTTCTTTAAAATACGTTCCTTGTTTTGATAGATAGCCATTTTGGAAGCCATTTTGGTCAAAAATTCTCGTCGGGTTTGAAATTAGCGCGTGACTTTGAATCGGGGGCACACAAAGGCTTTATTTAGACGCTTAGATGACAAGTTTTCAAGCATGTGTTTTACATTGAACGATGAAAGAAGCCACTTCCCGTGATTACATTAGTTACAAGACATGTAGATTATCCTCGCAATGGAAAAAGAAGCTTTGCAATTCCACACGTGGCTTTAACGAGGATTGAATATATCTTTTAACTTGGCCATAACAGTAAACTTGACTTGCAATTTATTGAATGCTGCATTTGTAATAAATAAGCATGTAAACATCGTTTTGATATTGAAAAAGAACATATGAATTCCTACTAGTTCTTACTTCTCTTATATAATCAATTTTGGCAACTTAACCTATTTTTCTGAACAAAGGTAATTGTTAAGGGCTCTGCACTCAAACATTTTTCCTTAAAAATAGCTTACCGGTAATCATTATAATCATGGTAGATGCATACGAACATTTTTATTGCTAGTGTTAATATTACCAAGTTTCAAAAGTCTTTTATATTTTAGTTGATATTGTTAATTACTAATCAGAAACCTTTACTACATATGTAGTACATACAAATCTGTGCTTTAAAATATACGCGAAAAAGGCCGCGCGCGATGCTACCGCTTTTTGGTTTAAAATCTACCTATTTTTCATCACTGTAGGTTAACATGTATGGGGGTGACTGTCCAATGTCTTTCGCATAGACTGAGAGTGACAATTTTACAATAAGTCAATAATTGTTAATATTTTAGAGAACAGTTGCATTGATGAAACTTATAAACCTGACAGCGAAATTGACTCTGTGAAAGAACAGTCCAAGAATGGTTTGTAACATATTCAAAAAAAATATTAATTAAGGCAAATAATGTAAAATATAGTTTAGGTAAATTACTGAATACATGTTATGGTCGTCAAATACTTGGCAATAAATATATTTGTGTTCTAACAATATACATAAAAAAAAGTTTTACATGCTTGATTGTCATAGCCAAGACATTCACAATACCAATGATTTTAAAGGCTGGTGTTAAAATTACGATCAATTATATTTTTTCAGAACATGGAATTAAACGTCTTAATGGCCACTCTTGACCAGCAGCCGGTTTTATTTCCCCTGGCCGATTTTTCTTATATGTTTGTCCTGGAATGAGCGCCACTTGTGTAACGAGGCCAGCGGCCAGTCAAATCTTGACACAACATGTAATTAACACTTTATTCAACAGCCACTTTATTGGGATTCTGATATGATGTTCAATGTTTTATGAATCATCATAATAATCTTAAAACCGCTCAGACAATAGAGGTGTACAAGTCATTATGGATGTTTTGATAATTCCATTGCCCCAGGGCAATGTCCAAGATTATATAAGTGACAGATGCACATGTTCCAAACAATGGCTTCGATAGGGCTGCAGAGATGTTAAAAAGATAAGCTATCAAATCTTTAGTGAGTTTTTTAACGAGGCCGGGTCTAATTTGTTCTGCCCTAGATTTTTGAATGAAATTTTTTACATGAATTTCTAATGATATAATTATTATTTTAAGATAAAAAAAATAGGACACTTACCACACCGTTTGTTTAGGGGGTCATCTCAAAGTTTGTTAATTTTTAACATAGGACCCTATGGGACTTTGCTTAAAACGTATCAAATTTGCACATTTTTTACATTTTTTTAAAACTTCTGCCCTAGAGATTTCTTTTTCTGTTCTACATATTAAAGTTATTGCTAAAAGGCATCAAATGGTCAATTAAAAAAACCCTTTTACCTCCTGGTTTGTTCCAGGGGTCTTATCAAAGTTGATTTTTGTATGCCCAATTTCCCAGATTTGTCAAATAATGGCTATTTTATATTTGACAAAAGCGGAAATGGTGATCTTTATAGTATTATTAGAACATTCAGACATATTTAAGTAATAAATAAATATATAACATCACATATAAAGGGCCATTTATATAAAAAAAATGGTTACTGTCTTGAGATATATGAATTAAGCTATATTTAGGCGGGTTAAGAAAACGTGACATAGGGCTAGGCTTGCTGAACCCTCTTCACGTTTTCGACCCGAGCCCAAATATAGCTTATACTTCGAGACATTTATGTTTATTCCACAATATAACATTAATTTTACGCATCAAACGAGTTATTTTCAACAAATTTCGCTGAATATCCGCAGTTGAAACTATCACGCCATGGCGTCAACCAAGCAAAAAGATGACGTCACAATACAAATGAACCGCTGCGCGAAAGCGTGCGTACTCGTTCTGTACTCGGCCTCGTTAAAATTACTTTGTATTTAATCAAATTAATACTAATAATTCTTCAAAAACTTTTAAAACCACTATGATTACGAAAGGAAGTTCACTAACTTAACGAGGCCCTGACTATGCATATTCATTCACAGGTCTCAACATTAACACTTGTCCGCTTGTATGGTACCAGTTAAAAAAATATACTGACAAGTGAATATTGCTTTTTTATGTAAAGAAGTCTCCAACATAAAAAAAAAAGCTTTGTGATAAATTTATCCGTAGACTCGTTATAAGTTTATCGATTAGTTATAGCGAGCGCAGCTTGCCGGCGCGAAGCGAGCTCTACCGGCAAGGCGTGTGTGAATAGAAAATTCAGACTACTTGCCCATTCATTCAACAGATTTTTTTGGCGTCAGTAAATCGGACCAGTTATGCCTTGTTTTAATCATCCCAGTAGTTCCCTGTAATTATGGTTTCCCAATTCACACTCTCACGAGAACAAGATAAAAAACTATGTACATGCATTGTAAATAACACCAATTTCCATTACTTTTAAGACTAACGGAGTTATCGTCCTTTCGAGTGTCATCACAATGGATTTCTTACACATTGATCCGACAGAATTTTTCGGCGTCAGTAAATTTCGACCCACAATGCAATTCCTCAATGTCGACCGATCTCACTAGACTGGATACCATCTCGCGAGAATCAAAGTGAAACCTTTGAGAAAGATAAATTGTGTAATTTCCAGAACATCATGCTTTTTAAGTAAACAAACAGTATTTTTTCGCGTAGTTTTTTCTAGTGTGTTTTCAAAGAGACAGACTACATTTGACCGACGTGAACTTTGCGTCACAATAAGGGGAAACTACTCTAAGTTAAGTTATTGTAAATCTGCTGAAATATAAATACCAAAATCTTCTCAAAATCTTGCAGAGCTAACGAATCGGGACATTTCTACAGAGATAGGAAACAGTTGTAACTTGCTCTCATTTGGATGAATACTAACAATTATTTTATTCACTATATTTACGGTAATTTCCAGGACCGTTTTTTAAATGGGGCGTGGCAACATCATTAAAAAAATCTTCACAAGCAAAAAGAAAAATAAGATTCTCAAAATCAGGAAACTTCTAATCGGGGGTGGGGAATGGGGAGTGCGTGGTATGCCTTTAGCTCTTTAGCTGCTCAAAAGTGTCTTTATTTTCACTACTATTTACGGTATTACATGCTCCCGGGGGATCCATTTTCCTTATGTGATCAAATTTTTTTTATACGTAAATTTGATTTTTTTTAAACGGGGGAGGGGGGAATCTGTGATAAGTCAAGTTTAATTTGTAAGTTTAAGAAAAATGTCTGCTGCAAGAAAAGAGGAAATAAACTGCAATGTACATTATGTTAAAATCTTTATTCAACAACATTTTATCTGAGATAAATTCTATACTGGCGTGCGACCAGTATATAAACAATCTGATTAAAATCAGATCTTTGATCCGCTCCGACAAATTCTGATGTCGCTACACTTTGTTCAGCGACTATCAGAATTTCGGAGCGTTACAAAGATCTGATTTTAATCAGATTGGTATATAAATAAAAAAAATCTTATGAATTATGAATAACGAAAATTTGCTGGAAAAATAGGTATATTTTATTTTGCATTCAAATTCATTTCCTTTACGTCACTACTTTTATTTGTATTGATTTATCATAATTCATTTTTGATCACCTGCTGCGCTCGCCCCAACGGTCGCACCGTAAAACATATTATTGAATTCGATCCCGACATCAAATTTCAATGCAATTGAGTTACTCTTGATCGGGATTGAAGTTCACTAATTTCAAACAACTTTCAATAGGTGTGGATCTTAGTTCTTACAAAGTACCAAACAGAAATGTTAAGAAAAAGAAAGGAAAAAAAGGTAGCAATGATAAACTTGAGGATTATGGAAAGAAATGTAATTATACCCCCGCAAACGAAGTTTAGGGGGGTATATTGATTTCACCCTGTCCGTCTGTCTGTAGACGCAACTTTGTCCCCCATATAGAATTTTTTATTACTGCATGGAACAGTTTGAAAATTTGTACATATGTTGAACACCATCTGAAGTTGTGCACCTGCAATTTTTTTTAAGATCAGACAAGATTTAATGATTTTATGACAGTTTTCATTTTTCTTATTCTATATATTGTACACTAATGTTAAAAGGTAAGGGAGGTAATCCTTACATATTTTATTAATTAATTAATAGTATTAAAACACTCTAAAATATATTTTTATAAATACATCCAGATGGAGGTTTTTTGTCTTAATTAATAAAAAAAAAATATTTTTTATAAGTATTCTATCATCTGACAATGCAAAGTTTTTGTTTGTCAATGATAAATTCTTAGGAGCTAATAAGAACATCAAAGACAAGTGTAGCTGAATTCATTTGTCCCAAGGGAGCCATTATCTGAGCCATGGTTCAGATGGAGCATGTGTTTAGGCGAAATTGATAATCTGTAAAATGGGTGATGGTTTTGGGGCTATTTTAAAACTGTTTCATATAAACCAAAAGTTTCTATCATAAGGAAATATTAATAAAGAAGTTAAACTATTTTTAGAAGTTGTTTAAATTTATGAGTCAAGTAAATTGAAAGTTTTATCAACAGAAGAGCATTGCTTGGCTACCGGTATTTCCATTTATTGCAAAGGGAGGGTTATTGTCATTTTGTTGGGTTTTTTTTAAATCAATTTAATTTTTAAAAAATATATCATCAGATACATACATTTGTAAATGTATTACTGTTATAGATATGTATTTACAGTGAAATTCTGACAATTTCTTTGTTAACAATTTTTTTTTTTTTTTTTTTACAATTCTAGAATTTTTTTTTTGTATGTGTTCCAAATCTTTATTATTCCATTCAATTATTGTCCCACTTGAAATTAGCCTTGGGGGTGGGGGGGGGTATTAGTCCCATTAGGACAGTTCTAGTTTATTTTAGGTTTCATTCATCATTGATAGACTATTATGACTTTCCATGTTTAGTTTTTCCTGTAAACAAAGTATACCTGATGAAGACTTTTGAGTCGAAACGTTGTATATTTTTCAAATAAAATAATTACATTTTTAAATTGAAACTGGAGTTGATTTCTATATTCAAACTTACATGTTTAGTTTAAAATCGGTTCAGAATGCAATATAACAATAACATGTATTTTTAAACCTGATGCTTAATTTAAAATGTCTTGTAATTTGCCATGACAAAGCTACAGCTGACAAATCATGTTTAATGTTATATGAAGCAAATACATTTAAGAAAGAAACTTTAAGTTTCCAATTTATTTAAAAAGTCAGGTTCTTAATTATAGCATGAATAATCTATAAATGACTTTATTTTAGTAATACAGAACTGTAGTTTTCAAGTTGACAATATTTGATCGTTAATATTGAAAAATTTTCGGACTAGTAAAGATGAAGGTCGGACAAGTAAATGTCTTGGTCACTTGTTCGAATGGAAAGTAGGAAAAAAAGTTAATGTAGAGCCCTGATTTAAAACATTTGTAATGACAGCATACTTGAAGACAGTAAATAAACATCTTAATGAGGAATAAATAAATACATCTGATTCAATTGAGTATATTTACATTCTACTAGGTTTTCCATTAAATTCTGTGATGTTTAGATGCCTCTAAATGCGACATCTATTCACTGCGTATGAATTTACAAGTAATTTACATAAGTAGTTCTCAAACATTGATTTCTATGTTATCGGTGAAAAAATATATTTTACAAATGTTGTCAAAACACCATGTTTTACTGTACAGTTATTCAACAAAAAAGTTGACTTTATTATTAAAAGCAAAATTTTAAGGGTTATTTTTCGTGGGTTATATTTTCTGGGCTTCTTGTTTATATATGGTGTGAAGTAAAAAAATATAAAATCGCGAACGTTGAACTTTTCTCCTTCTTTTTTATATTTTTCAACTTTCATAAAATGATGGCGAGATTTAAAAATCCATGAAGAATGCTTCTTGCGATTTTACGCGGATATTTATTCCTCGCGTTTAATTAGGAATTTACAGTATACTGGAAGCTGTCGATAGATATATTTTTATTAGGAGGGGGAAGGGGGGAATAAATCTTTGTATCTTTCTCAAAATCAAGCATTAAGCAAGCACTGAAAGGTGAAAGTTTAATATGATATTTTTAAATTTTGTTTGTAGAGATCAAGGAAGGATGTTGATGAGTCTGATTCATCAAGTGAACATGATGTCGGACCAGAAGAAATCAAAGAAACAAGACAAGAGCTTGACCTTAATATAAAGTCTAGAAGTAAGCAGCATTAAATGATATGTAGGTCATGTCCCAAGGGTATGGTCCCGACCCGAAATAGAGCTTATTTGCAGGAACAGATGCATAATATAGGATATGATAGGATAATAAGGGTCGTCGGTTCCCAACTTTCCAACAGAAGACCCTATTGTTTTCATTTTCTTAACATTTTTCTTAAAGCTCAAAAATCTCAGACATGGTGCAACGAATTTTTCTGATATTTTCATAGATAAAAAAGAGTATCAAAATCTTTTATCACGTACATTTTTGTTGATTAAGTCACTTCCAATCTGCCAATATATTCGTTAATCTTTTTAGCTCACCTGAGCTGAAAGCTTAAGTGAGCTATTCTGATCACATTTTGTCTGTCATCCATCTGTCTGTAAACTTTTCACATTTTCTACATCTTCTCAAGAACCACTGGGCCAATTTCAACCAAACTTTGCACAAAGCATTCTTAGCCTAAGGGGATTCTAAGTTGTGAAAATTAAGAACCACGCCCTTTTGCAAAGGGAGATAATTAGGAATTTATGAAAATTTTCGAGAAATTTTCAAAAATCTTCTTCTCATGAACCATAAGACCAGGAAAGCTGAAACTTGTGTGGAAGCATCCTCAGGTAGTGTAGATTCAAAGTTGTGAAAATCATGATCCCCGGGGGTAGTGTGGGGCCACAATGGGGGGTCGAAGTTTTACATAGGGATATATATATTAAATCTTTAAAAATCTTCTTCTCAGAAACTAATCAGCCAGGAAAGCTGAAACTTGTAGGAAAGCATCATGAGGTAATGTAGATACAAAGTTGTGAAAATCATGGCCCCCAGGGGTAGGGTGGGGCCACAATGGGGGGTCGAAGTTTAACATAGGAATATATAGAGCAAATCTTTAAAAATCTTCTTCTCAGAAACTAATCAGCCGGCATAGCTGAAACTTGTGTGTTGAAGCATCCTCAGGTAGTGTAAATTCAAAGTTGTGAAAATCATGACCCCCGGGGGTAGGGTGGGACCACAATGGGGGATCGAAAGTTTACATAGTAATATACAGAGTAAATCTTTAAAAATCTTCTTCTCATGAACCATATGACCAGGAAAGCTGACACTTGTGTTGAAGCATCCTCAGTTAGTGTAGATTCAAAGTTGTGAAAATCATGATCCCCGGGGGTAGGGTGGGGCCACAATGGGGGGTCGAAGTTTTACATAGGAATATATAGAGTAAATCTTGAAAAATCTTCTTCTCAGAAACTAATCAGCCAGGAAAGCTGAAACTTGTGTGAAAGCATCCTCAGGTAGTGTAGATACAAAGTATGTATTGTTGTATATTGTCCAGATAGTTTGTTTTATGACTCCATTAAGCTGATTTTATCATACCTATTGTTTCTCAGGTGAGCGATGTGGCCCATGGGCCTCTTGTTTAATAAAGTGATTTTGTCCTCCCTTTTTCTCAAAAATGATTAAGGATAGAAGACTGAAATTTTCAGGAATGATAGATGTTTGAATTGTTAGATGCTATCAGGTAAAAACATGATCGTACCTCACTTACAGTCCACTCATACTGCATGTTTGGAAAATTGTGTTTTAAAATTTTTCAAATCAAAAAGTTTACAATTTTTTTCATCAGGATATGTTTCAAACTTAACAAATTTTAATATGAGCAGGACGTCCATCACTTTCGGTCCACCGTATGTGATTCCAATATATTTCGAATTTTGGAATTTTAAAGCATACCGGTAATTGTTCTGTTAACATTGTTGTACTAAATACAAATCTGAAAACCGTTTAAAAATCAGACCGTGCATTGCTGAGATATTAAAGTTTAAAAATGACCTTTTCTGAAAATTTTATATTTGCAGTGTAGGTCCAAAATTTAGTTTAATAGAAAGTTAATATAGTAACTCGTACTACATGTCAACATTTTAATTTAACCATATCATTTATTCATAATCAAACGGAAGACTCACTTGTTGCTTGCAATGAGATCATGTCTAGTTTTGCCAGCTTTCACTGGTCAGTACAACAGTTTGTGGGACTATTATGCAAGCATCTGTGGCTATTATAGATTCGTATTTGGTAAAATATTGACCCCTGGACTAATAGGGGTTCAAAATTAAAAATAGAAGTCAATAGGGCAAATTTTTAAATATCTTTTAAAGAACTACAATGCTACAATATGTGAGATTACTATGCATGCAACCTTGGATAATGTAGATTCAATATATTTTTAAAATAGTGACCCCTGTACTAGTGTCTGGGATCCAAGATGAGTTCAAACTTTAATGTAGAAGTGTAATGGAAAAAATTTAAAAATCTTCTCAACAAGAACAACATTGCTTCAATTTGTCAGATTACTACATAAGCATCCGCAAATAGTGTAGATTCCAAGTTATAAAAGCCATGACTTTGGATCTAATACTGGGGCCCTAAATGGGGTTGAAAGTTTAGAATAGAAATACAGAGGGAAAATGTTTAAAAATCTTCAAGAGAACTACAATGCTTCAATTTGTGAGATTTCTTTGCAAGCATTCTTAAATAATGTCGATTCTGATTTAATACAGCTCTGAGCACCTGACCAAAAGTCCAATCCAAAAGGACTATATATGAAAAGGCCTAAAATGGCCCCCTAAAATGAACATCATCATTTTACTCTCATTCTTTATTTTCTTAGTACAGATATGTATGTGATGTGTTTACATAATATTCATTTTGGTTCAAGTGCCCACAATTTAGAAATTTGACATCGTAAAGACAACCTTTTCCCACCATTTTTGCATTTTTAGCAAAAAACTCCTTGTTTTCAAGCAGTTTTTCCTTCCGAAAACATTGAGCGCATGCTTGAACAAACAAAATATTTTAATCAGAGATGTATCTAGCCAAGACTAATAAGTGACAAAAAAAAATTTCCTTGTTCAAGCATGCGCTCTATATTTCCCTTTCGTAAATAGATAAGAAAAATGTCAATTTTTGGCTGATTTTGATTGAATGATAGAAATAGCGTCACTTCTGACGTCATATACTGCCAGGAAGTGCAAAAAAATCAAATAAATAGATGAAAAATATATTATATATCAACTCTTCTAAAAAATAAGTAAACATTATATTGTACCCGAAACACTTAAAAAATAGCGAATTATGGGGGCCAAATTTAACTCTTATCATATATAGTTCTTTGTTCCTCTTTGCGGGGTTAGCCCAATGGTCAAAAGGGAAAAACAACTTTTCCCTTCGATATGCAACCGATTATTTGGTTGCCCTGTGAAGAAATCTCTTGAAATCTTAATTCATTTCTCTGATGTGTGGGTTGCCCCCGACTTGTGGCAATCCAAATTCAAAGCGGAAATGGATTTCTAATTTAAATGACAAAAGACACCCTCAAACTAAAAAAGTCCCGTGAGAAAATAAGGGGTTTTTCCCAAAGATGGGGCCAAATGGACATAATTTTTGTAAAGGGGGTTTGGTCATCGGGGCCAAAAGGGGGGGGGGTCAAGTTTAAACAAAAATATAGGAAAATGTTAAAAAAATTTTTTTTTCAAGAACACAATGCTAATTTTGTAAATTTACTATGAAAGGGATCCTCAAAGTGTGATTCTAAATTTTTAAAGCTACCCAATACCAGGGACCAATACATGGCCCCAAAAAGGGTTCATAGTTAACATAGAAAAGCTATCAATGAAATGGAAATATTAAAAGGGAAGTTGTTCAGGTAGTGATTGGCCCAGGGGCCCTTTGTTCGGGTTTTACCAATTTTTTGGGTCATTATACATGAATTTTAGGGAGTCAAATCAGATGGAATGATGGGACAAGATGAAACACATTAGCTTTTTACTGAAAATGTTTTAATTTTCCATTTTTGCTGGGAGGTAAACGAACACCGGACAAGCGATAAGATTTACTTAAAGTGGATATTTTTCTGAAAAAAAAAAAAGAGAAGAAGAAGGAAACAAAGGGGGATTTTTAAATAAAATAAACCAAAACCCTATCGTTACCACGATTTTTTTTTTTTTTTTAGATTTTATGACAACACCGAAACAATGTACATTTCGAAAAAAAGAGGAGGTAAGTATTTTTTCTTTTTTTGCTGTCGGGGGTCCATAAAAAAAAATTCTCATAAGCATTTAATTTTCAGATCTTTAAAAATTTTTCAACACTGTTTTGGGCATGCATATGATTGGGTTTAATTTTGTACAAAATTTAATTTTGGGGGACTCCCCGAAATATTTCTGTTTTTTTTAAGACTTAAATTTTAAACTTGGTTTCCGGGGAAAACTCATCACAAATGTCTGAAATTTTAACACGCTACTTATTTGGGGATGCCACATAGTGGTATTTATTTTTTAAATAATAAATCTGATGCCAATTACCTTTTAAATATGACTGTTTTTAAAAAATTTTTAAACAAATTTTTTTTGCCTTTTTTGTTCAGATTTTGAAATTTAGCACATAGTTTCCCTTAGGCACTTAACTATAATGGGGATTTTTTTTTTGAACAAATAAAGGTCCAAAAAGCGTTAAAAACCATTTTTTTTTTTATTTGTATTCGCATCATAGCTGGGATATCACGAGTGAACATTCATGCCAACTATGATTTTCATAAAACATGATATTGGTGACCCACCATTTAAATAAGATACAATATCAGTAGTAAATTGCATGAAGAATTTAATGATACTTATTGTTTTCACAGACTTCACATATAAATAAGGTAAATCAGTCCAAAACTAGCGCACGTTTTTGTGAGCAATAAATACACATTTTTTTCCATGGGTGGCACTGTATCTCCCAGGTCATCCATCTGAAACTCCTTTCCGAAATTTTCAGACCAGAAGCTACAGACATGCAGCTAGTTAGAAAAGGGATTTGATAATGAACATAAAGATTTCCATGGGGAAAATGAATTTCTATGTAAATAAGATATACATGTATCATACAACATTGTCCAGATATTTTATATTATGATTTCATGAAGCTTAATTTGTCATGCCTATGCTTGCTCAGGTGAGCAAGTAGCCCATAGGCCTCTTATTTTTTAGCTCACCTGAGCTGAAAGCTCAAGTGAGCTTTTCTGGTCACATTTTGTCCAGCGTCCGTCTGTCTGTGCATCTGTCTGTGTGTCTGTAAACTTTATACATTTTCGACTTCTACTCCTGAACCACTTGGCCAATTTCATTCAAACTTGGCACAAAGCATCATTGGGTAAAGGGGATTCAAGTTTTGTTAAAATAAAGGGGCATACCTTATTTCCAGGGGAAATAATTAGGATTTATTGAAAATTTGGTGATATTTTTCAAAAATCTTCTTCTCAAAAACCATTTGGCAAGAAAAGCTGAAACTTGTGTGGAAGTATCGTCAGATAGTGTAGATTCAAGTTTGTTCAAATCATGGTCCCAAGGGGTAAGATGGGGCCACAAGGGGGGTGCATAATTTTTACATAGGAATATAGAGAAATTTTATTTGAAATCTTTTACTCAGAACACAACTGGCCAGAAAAGCTGTAACTTGTGTGAAGTATCATCAGGTAAGGTAGATTCAAGTTTGGTCAAATTATGATCCCCGGGGTTAGGGTAGATCTTTACAAAGGAAAAATTGAGCAATATTTTTTTTTTAAAAAAACAACATTTTTCTTAGAAAGAGCCAATAATGAAGAACCTTGATATTGTATGATTAAATCTGT